CTGTGTGTATCTATATATATATATGTAATTTGTAAATTTACAAGTTTTTAGGGGTACTTTAGTATTTTAATTTAATTATTTAGGCTGAAGGTATTTTGATAAATTCAAAGGGTATTTAAGTCATTTTATATCATGTCAAATTCGTTCACGGTTGAGGTGTTAATGAAAAGCGAAGCAAAAATTTGTAAGGTGAGTGATAGTGAAATATAGCCAAATTTGAGAGGGTGTGATTGAAATTAATCCTTTATTTTATTTTTGGAATTATTAAATTCTTTATAATTATTACATTTGGAATAATTGAATTATGATTCTAACCCAAAATTATTGCATATGAAATGCAATAATAAATATATTCTTATTTATTTATACCCTCAGTATACATACATATACATACATATATTTATTTATTTATTTTTGCACAACTTTTGGATTTAAGATAGGATTCTTTTTGTTGAACTAAAAAAGAATTTCAAATGAGATTTAATTTAAAAATATATATCGTAGAAAAATTTTGACAATTTCGTACCGGGAATAAAAATAATTAATTCTTACTTTTCATGTGCAATAATTTGATAAAAAAATCAGAATTCAATAATATCAAAGGTAACAATTATAAAGAATTCAATCATTCTTAAAAATAAAATAAAATAAAATAAAATAATAACTAAATTAATAAATAAATAAAATTGCATTTCATGGGCACAAAACACTCTTCTACTATGAGATTAATAACATATATACCCCTTGAACATTTTTGAAAGAGTAAAAGGGCAAAACGGGTATTACAACACTAATTTATGACAAATTTTTTTATTGATAGTTGCTTTCAGACAATATGAAAAGAATATGAATATTTTTTTGCACACTTTTTTAAATAGGAAATAAAAATATTACTGCTCGCCCCTTGCCCCTTCTAAAAAAGTAATAGCACACCTAAGACAATATATCATATATACATGATGTACAGAAATTCACTGAAAGCTTATATTCGCATTCCACATTAAGATAAATAAGCATATTATTACGATGGAAAATATTAAATATAGTTTGGAGTGTTTAAATTTATAGACAAGCTTCTAAAACCTTTTCACATATATTTTTATGGCCATTTTAAAGAAGCATGGGATATCTTGATACTTAATTTTTCAGCTAATATAATAATTATCACATCTTTGAATTTCATGTTTAATATGGCCACTTCTCATGTATCACTCACTTTTTTTCCTTTTTCTCTTCTCAGTAGGTAACACCTTGAAACTTGCCGTTTTCACACGAACTTGTTTTGAATTAGCTTGTATAATGCTACTAATACTTCAACATTACTCCTTTGAGGAGAATCGGAATTAACTTTATTTCTCAAAAGTCAAGCGTGGGTTGGGTATAATTTCACTCCAATTAAGCGTTATTGAAACGACAGTAACTTTTTCCAAGTTTGTTTGAAAAATTACAAGACATTATATTATGGAATAATCTATTGCCCTATAATAGATGGATTCGATAATAATTAAAAAGAATAATCAGACATTGTTCTTCGCATTCCATCAATTTTGTTAAAGAAAGTTGACAGGAGACACACCAACCTGTTTCATGCATATACATATCTCCAATGCGAAGATCAAATTTGTAAAGCCATTATTAATGTGAAAAATTCAATATATACAGTCTCAAATATAAATATACATGCATCTTGAAAGTAAAAAGACCGATTGAAGTGAAGAATTGATAAATAAATAAATAAGTAACTTCATGATTTTGAAACTATTTTTTCGTTAGTATAATATTATTTGGTAAATTATTTTGACCTTTTCCAAAGTTTGTCCAAATTACCTATAACTAAAACAATTTGAAAAATTGTGGTCGATCAACCTCCCTTGAGGTACGGCATAAATACTCCAACCATCCACGATGAGTTATAGTTTCAGTATTTAAAAAGTATTTCACTAAGGAACCATTATGGTACAAACAAAACTGGAGATAGAAGTAAAAAAGGCCCAAAATCTAGAAAGAAAGAAGTCACCACAAGTCTACATAATTAATTTAATACATATTTTGTGTGATGTTGATTGAAGAGGAAACTCTTTTGTAAAAAGGAATCCAACAACTATTCCTCAAAAATGCACTTTCTATAAATTCACCCCTACGTGCACCATGAATTGTGTTTTCATGTGAAAAGGAATCCAACAACTATTCCTCAAAAATGCACTTTCTATAAATTCACCCCTACGTGCACCATGAATTGTGTTTTCATGTATGCTAGCTAGTGCATCATAAGGTTTTATTTCTATATATTACCAACCAGTTAAACTAAAATAAGGAGAAATATATATCTTACTTGATTGAAAATTTGCATATTCTGAAAAGTACATTTCAAGGCTCTTTTTTTTTTTCTTTAATAGATTATAGGGCATGTAAAATAACTGAAAGATAAAATAATATAAATAAATAAACAAATAATAGCGTTAAAAAATTGCGTTACAAAACAACTTAAATATGGAAACAGGAAAAGTATGTACATACATCAATATGTACTGATCGACTTTAAATTTTCAAGGGCATAAAGAAAATGTAAAGAGCCATTTTAATATGTTTAGTGATTTGTCTGAAACATGAAGCTAAAATGTTTAGTGATTTGATAACTGGAATACTCTGAGATGAGCCTAAGCAGGTGCCATTTTAGCTTCATGTTTCAGTCCAAGAATATGACTACACTACCTGTCCGTGCAAATGGTTGCTAGCTTCTGTAGAATTTGGCTGCTTAATTTGTTGAAGTCACATATTAATTGCATGCAATGTGTCACCCGAAATTACGGTGATTGTTGCATGGCTTTAGGAGAAGATATTGTGTTTTAGGGGCATTCGAGTGCATAGTTGAAAGAGCTCAAGTGAGCAATTTGGAGTAAGAGAAACATTGTATAGTTTCTCATTTGTGTGCCTTTTGTAATCCTTTTGTGTTTTGAATGTTAGTGCATTGATCTTAAACTGCCCTAGGTAGGTACATTAATCCTTATCTTCCTTTTGTGCGTGTTCTCTACCCACTTATTTATGTTTTAATTACTTTTTTTTATTGGTGTGTGATCACAATCACCATTATTTTATTTGTTGACACACTTCCGCACAACAGTTAGAACTAACAAAACAAGAGTACTAACAAATTTTACTACTTAGATGAAAAGACAATCTAAAAGTGTTTAATTAATTTTAAAAAGTATTTTTGCCAGAGAGAGAGAGTATTATGACTCCCTTAACCGTGTAAATATTATTTGTTTTGTGTTACGATTTTTTAAATTTAATTTACGGGGTCAGGAGGTGTAGTCTAGCAAACCCCCGAAACTTTTTGTCCAATTCTCTACATAACCTTAAACTTTTTGTCCAATTCTCCGTCCATTTTTGGGCCGGGCCCAAGTCTATTATGAGTTCGCATCAACCCCAAGAACTTTTTTAGTTCACGTCCATCCCCTCTCTGTTTATATCTTGTATTGAATTTTCGTTGTAAAGAATATCTCACTGATCATTACAAAACCTATATATATATAGCCATTCTAAAATAGGGGTGGAGGATATCCTATATTTCAAAACCTAGCTAACAAAGTTTCTCTTCGGACATCAACGGGCCAGTGGTCTAACAATATCAGGCTCTTACCTCTCAAAGGAAGTCAGAGCCTCAAGTTTCAATGAAGGCATGTGTGTGCAAGTACCAATTAAAAATAAATAAAATAAAATAAAGGATCTCTCAGAACCTATTATGGAAGACATTGACTTTGAAGTTGGAAAATAACCCAGAGAAAATTCTTCCCATAATTATTTCAATTTTATTTTTCTTGTATTTCATAATTTGTCGGACTAACCCAAATTTAGATTCAATTCAGATTTTGAAGATAAATCTAACATTATAATTCACGCGAAAAATTAGGAGAATCTAGTTTGTATCAGTGTTACGTAATAGAACTGGTTATTGCAGTAGTCAAAAAAAAAATTTCAACCTTGCTCGCAAGATCTAAAATGCATCAATAAACAACTTTTTATTATATAATTTTATAAAGATGAGTTTTTAAGTGAATATTTGAAGACCTTTAATCTAAATGGCTATTTATTAAATGGGTCAAGAGTTGACCAATCATTTAAACAGGCTGATTAAATCCCAAAAAACAAACTCTAACCTAATTTGACAGTATTAGGGAAGCTAGTGGGAAGGGTTAATGAAAACAAGCCATTCAAATTGTGTTTCCCTTTCTCTTCTTTGTCTTTGCATGCTTGGAAAAATAAACCAAAAACATAAGAGACTGGGAAGGGTCTACAAAAGTTTATACAACATCTAAATCTCTAATGCCATCTTTAAATAAACCAAAAACAAAAAGAATTCAAAAATGGTGCCAACCAAAAGCTGACAGATAATATAGAAAATTAAATGTTGGAACATTAAATCAACTTGAATTATTTGTTAACATCTTGACGTGGGGTCAACCCATAAAGCCTTTCTGCACCAAAACTGAAGGCTCTAAAGGGAGAACAAAATTTATTTGATTTATGAATTTTAAAATCATATTCTGAAAATAGAGTTTAAAAAAGAACACATCATTAGTATACAGTATTTTTTATTTATTTTTAGATATCTGAAAATTGTTTGTGATTTTAGTTTTCTGGTAGGCCTTTCTACTAGGTTTCATGGGCCCGTATTACAACAATTTTTAGGCTGGTCGAAACCACCATTACCTGAAAAGCATCTCAAGACTAGGTGGAGTTATACTTGGGTCTTTCGAGTTTTAACCCATACAAAACCTTTAAGGAGAGAACAAGGAAAACAAAACGTATTTTGAATTTAGAATTGAAAGAAATTTAGATCAAATTTTTTACTAAATTTTTTTTAATTCTAAATCCATATCCCAGTGCTCTCAAATATAACAATAAATGATTTACTGAATTTACTGAAAGACGTACTTTTGAGGAAACATTAGGATTTTGAATTGCCAAACATCAAATTTATTTTATAATGAACCCAAATATAATTGATAATAATGACAAGATTTATTTAATTTGAACTCCAAAGTAACACAAGGAAAAGAAATGGAAAGGGTTACAATATCTAACCACCATCAAACACACGTCTAAATATTTCTCGGCCAAAATATCTTTCGAAAATAGTCCACAACAAAGTAGTAGCAAGAGGCAACGCACACCTCAACCAAATGAATCCAGACTCGCCTCCAGTAAGGGTTGATGTAGAAAACAGCTGCAATCCCTAATAACATAGTTATGTAGGACACCGTAAAGGTCACATAAAACGATTCCATGTCCATGAAGCCATCATCCACGTCATTGCTATTCATGACCGTTGGGGTTGTTGGAGGTGGCTCAATGGCAGTGCATGGTCTTGAAAGTGGTGGCCCACAAAGAAGTGGATTACCAATGTAGCTACTATTATCAAATGTATCAAATTGAACATATCTTTTACTTTGTGGTATGCTGTCGGACAGGTTATTATATGACACATTGAACTTGGCCAGAGAATACAACTCATTAAGCTGTGAAGGGAGTTTCCCACTCAAGTTGTTGAAGGAGAGATCTAAGCTCTCTACATTGGATAGGTTTGAAAACGTTGTTGGTATCGTCCCACTTAGGCCATTGTGAGACAAGTTCAACGCTCTGATTTGGCCTATGTTTCCAATTTCATTCGGAATGTGGCCTGTCAATCTGTTGCAGGAGAGATCAATAGCTGAGAATAGATCAAGATTGATTCCCTTGTAAGAGAGTGACGTTCCTTTACTCGTGAATTTTACTTGTGTTTGTCTACCGAATTTGTCCCCATAAGTAGTGTGCCTCTCTGCAAATATATCAAATCCACAGATGAATGGCAGGGAACTTTTTCCCAGTTTTCCCTCAAAAGTGATGTTATTCAAGCAAGGAGGAATGTGGCCAGAAAAGTCATTATAAGAAAGATCAATCAGGCTTAATTGGGACAAGTGGCATAAACTGAGTGGGATCTCACCTTCGAAATGATTGTTGTGCAAGACAAGAATGGTCAGTCTAGAAAGGGTACCAATCCAATTTGGAATAAGACTAGTTAAGTTGTTAAGGGAAAGATCTAAGACCACTAATGAGCTGCTATTGTAAAATGCACTTGACAATGGTCCTTGCAGCCTATTTTTAAACAGATGAACATACTTAATATGCGGGGGGTTGAAGCAAGATGGTATGGTCCCTGTTATTTTGTTGTCGGAGAGGTCAAAAACAAAAAGATTATCTAGTCTACAAAATTCAGTTGGAATTGGACCTTCCAGATAATTATTGGACATTTCAATCCCATTCAGGTATGACATATTTCCCATCCACCCAGGTAGTTTCCCTGACAAATGATTCTGACTTATATTTAGCATCCACAAATAAGAAGAGTTGGACAAGCTATCCGAGATCTCCGTGAAGAGATTGTGGTCTAGGAATAAACATGCCAACTTAGTCATGTTATTTTTTGTTGGCAAAATTGGGCCTTGCAATTTGTTACGTGACAGTTTCAAAAATTCCAAGCGGACGCAACCCATGGCCAAGTGCCCCGGTATTCCACCAGTTAGTTGATTATTGGTCAAGTCAAGAATCTTTAGAGTAGACATATCACCTAATGAAGAGGGAATGGTACCACCAAATCTATTTCCGGACATGGTTAATGACATTAAACCTGGAAAAGCTGTAACAATGTTTCTCGGAATATGGCCCTGGAAGTTATTGTCAGAGATATCTAGTGCTACAAGTTGTGTTATGGGATGGAAAGGCAACTGAAGATATCCACTGAATGAATTATTTGGTAGAAAAAGTCCTAATAATCCTGTATTGTTCTCCAACAACCAATTTGGAAACTTCCCATCAAAGTTAATTTGAGAAAGCTCAACTATTTGAAGGTCCTTTTGGTAGTAGAGGAAGTTGGGAAAGTCTGTAGTGCTACTGATATTGCTAGATGCACTGTGAGATAAACGAATAACAGTTAGTTGGAAACTCGGCGCCAGAGTCTGAAAATTCAATTCTGACACCAATTCGTTTTCTTGGCATTCAATGAGCTTGAGTTTTGAGTGGTTGAAGAATGATCGAAACGTGATTGGGATTTGGAAGCGGTTGTTTGAAAGGACAAGGTGTTCAAGAGATGTCATTTGAACAAGTGGAGAAATATTTCCAGTGAATTGATTGGAAGACAGATCCAAAAAACGAAGGGATGTCATTTGAATAAGTGGAGAAATATTTCCAGTGAATTGATTGGAAGACAGATCCAAAAAACGAAGGGATGACAACTTTCCCAAGCACCCGGGCAAGTTACCTTCCAGTTTGTTACCGGAGAGATCAAGATGTTGAAGAGTCCTCAATTCACAAAGCCCTGAACACCATTAAATTGACAAAGTCAGCCTCATTAAATTTCATCTAATAATATAATGATATAGATAGATAGAATAACGTAAATGAGACAGATCAGTCGTGACAGATCGATCGTGCTGTAGTAGTTGATTTTTTATGTCTAGGATGGAATTAAACTTTTCTTTACCCGGAGCAGGTAAGGTGCCAGTAAGTCCACAATGTTGTAGTGACAACTGTTTAAGAGAAGTCATCACTTGAATGCTTGAAAGGAAATCATTATTGAGAGTAACATAATTCAAGAACAAGTTTTCCACACTCCTAAGGTATTGCAAGTCTGTAAACATGGTGCAACAGAATGCAATCAAATATAAGAAGATGCATGTATAGGAGTGAAATACATTAATGAAGGATTTAAATCTGTTAATTAAAAGCTTTAAAAAAAATGCCTACCTCCAATGTGAATTGTTCCATTTAATATGTTCCCTCCTAAATATTGAGTCTTGAGTGATGTAAGTCCCCCCAAAAACGACCAAATGTTAATATTGAATGCATTACCATTCTTAAAACCTGTAAAAACAACTCACAATATCAACTTGGACGTTTGAGGACAACAAAGTCAAAAGTCATCCACAAAGCACTTAGTCTCTAGCTTCTACGATTCTGTATCAAAACGCACAGTAAATGTGTCTGCATGATAATTGTGTTTAAAAAATAAATAAATAAATTATAACTTTGAATTGTTGAACATATCAATTCTGGTAGGTGAATATTCACAATAAGGGTGGCCGCCTACCATCTTTAATTATAATAATTTAATTCGACTTTTATCTTTGATGTTATCATATTTAATTTACTGATGGTACATTTGAGTAAATGAAATTTTTTGAAATGGCTAGATTTGAATTTGAATAAAAAAATCATCACAAATAATAGCCAAAGTGGTATGAAATTTATGTGGCTTGGCATCAGTAAATTAGATTTTATCTTTACCTTGAGTAGGTAAGGTGCGACAATATAGTAGTGGCAATGGTTTAAGAGAAGTTATCACTTGAATGCTCCAAATGAAATCATTATTGAGAGTAGCATAATCCAAGAACAAGTTTTCCACACTCCTAAGGTTTTGCAAGTCTGTAAACATAGAGTAACAGAATGTAATGAAATATAAGAAGATGCATATATAGGAGTGAAATACATTAATCAAGGACTTAAATCTATTAATTAAGAGCTTTAAAAAAAATGCCTACCTCCAATGTGAATTGTTCCATTTAATATGTTGTATCCTATATATAGAGTCTTGAGTGATGAAAGTCCTCGCAGAAACGACCAAATGTTATTGTTGAATGCATTATCACGCAAATCAAGGATCTCCAGATTGTTCAATTTTGGAGCACTCATAAAACCTGTAATTTTAACAACTCACAATATGACCCAATCGAAAATACAAAGGAAAAAAAAAAAACTCAGAGCATGTGTGTGCATGATCATTGGGTTACAAAAATTATTGTCTTAATCTTGAGCCTTTCAGGATCATCATGTCACTACCTTATATGTTTCTCTATCAAACACAGTGTGTGTGCATGCATGATCCTTTGGTTAAAAAAAAATAAAAAATAAAAATAAAAAAAATTATAACTTAAACATAAAATCATGCTTAAATATGTCAATTCTGGTAGGTGAATATTCACAATAAGAGTGGTCTCCAACGTTTCGTTTTTCATCTTTCATCTTCATATTTAATTCACTGATGGTACGTTTGAGTAAATGGATTTTTTTGAATGACTAGATTTGTATTTGAATAAAAAATTTATCACAAAGAGTAGGCAAAGTGGTATTCTCCTTTGAAATTGAAAGATAAAAGTTTCAAGTTATCAACTGTTCAGTGTGTGAGAGATTTACCTATCCGAAAAAAGAAAGAAATTAAATATATAAAAAAAAAATTGACCATTGAGGTTGGATTTAGGAGCCCACCAAGGGAAATATTGAACTAGTTTGCGCACTAAAATCCTTGTTGTCCTGTATTTTAAATAACAAATAACTCCTTCCACCTTAATTATTAATTATTTGAAATTGATGCATACATGCATAATGTTTCAATCTAAATGATTAGATATAAATTTAAATCATGCATGCTTCTTAAGTTTATCCATTTCAATTCATGTCAAATATTCCTTTAATCCAAATGGAGTCTTACTTTTCAACATTGATTGTGTTAAAATATACATGCGCCAACCCTAACTCTTTTTGCTACAATAATTGAGATAACTCTTTTGCTATGTAGTATCTATATGCCTAAGTCAATGGATAATCGATATTGAGATTTTTAAGAGTAGTGTTTAATATACAATTAATTGATATAAAATGTTAAAACTATGTTTTCTTTTTGATAAAATACCTTGATTGGATATGATATTATCGATCTCGTTCCAAGCCATATTCAACTCTTTCAAGTTGATCAAACCATCCAAATCTAGTAGGGAATGAGAAATCAAGGGAAAAAGAAGAAGTAATAATCAGCTATAATACATTGCTCACTATTAACCAAATTATCATGAGAATAATATTATAAACATGAACATTTATGTTTTGTCTTGGATCTAGAACTGAGTTTTAAGTGATGAGAGGTTGTTATAATATTACAGTTACCTTGCATATAAATCGTCCCATTCAATCTGTTTTCACTTAGATTTAGAGTCTTGAGTGATGAAATTCCATTTAGAGACGTTAGGATGCTATTATTAAAATAATTGCCCGTTAGATCAAGGATCTGTAAATTGCTCAACCTTGATAGTTTTTCAAAACCTGCAAGGCCCACAATAAAAAAGTAATTTAATTGGCATCTTAGCAATAACACAATTTTGTTCTAAAAATAAATAGATAAAAATAAAAAAATAATAATAATAATAAAGAAAATTGAAAAAAATAAAGGAACCAATCATTATATGCAATCCTTAGGATGAATATGTATCTCATCTTGTGTGTGTGTGTATGAAGAGAGAGATACCTTCGTTCTCGATACATCCTTGTATATAATTGTAAGCCAAGTCTAGGTTTATGAGCGATTCAAAGGAAAGAAACATTGAGGTGTTTAAATACCAATCTCCTAACTCGTATTCTCTTATAGAATTAAGTGAAAGTTTGATGACGCGAAGTGTGGTGGTATTGCACTCAACACCTTCCCATTCACAGCAATCATCAGTGCTTCCTTCACCCTCCCATGATGGCAAGGAAAAGCCATTTGGATGGTTGATAGAAGCTTTGAGCTGCAAAAGAGCGATCCTCTCTTGCTTCCAACACCCATAACACCCATTCGCTAAAACCAGCATCAACAGTATGGATAAAATCAATACTCGCTCTAAGAACTCCATTACTGAATTCAGAATTGATTAGGACACGACCTACAGCTGCTATTTATATACATGCGCGCCTTGACATCTTAAAATTTGGGAAAAATAAAAAATAAAATAAATACTTTATTAAATTTATAAGTTTATACCGCTACCATTGCCTTTTCTTGCATCCATATATAAAGCTTTTACTGTTGGCGTTTGTGTATATTTTACATGTACGTATTAATATTTTTTAAAATGTTCGTACAGCATGGAACTAACGTTGAGGTTTGGTTGTAATATATTAATTATACATTTGTATGGGACCATTTTTATAATTTAAGAATTTTGATTAAATTGATACATTAAGTATTAATAATTCTTGACTATCTAATCATTTCTCCTGACGCTTGACTCAATCTTAAAAGAGTAGTGATATTTACACCGAACACTTGTAGTGAATTACCTAACCAAATAATTTTTAATTGGTGATTAATTTATAACAAATACAAGAAAGTGAAAGGTTTCATTTTCTTATTTGTAATAAAACACACAATATACAGTAAATGAATATCATCCAAAATTGGTGAACAACATTCCACTCCAGCCACTAGTGCAATTGCTTCATATCAGTCTCATAAACTTTATCCAAAATTGTTTTAATATATTAAGGGACATGAAATATAACAGAAAGAGAAAAGTTAAAGTAGATGAATAAACAAAAGATAGTGTTCAAGAATTAGATTACAAGACAACTTAATTATAGAATATAAAGCAGGTGCAGATATGAACTGTTGGATTGCATGCAACATCAATAAGTTAGAAACCAAATACAGAGATGACTTTTGATACAGTATAAACATTTTAAAGCCAACATTGCCTTTACTTTTTTAAATTCATATAAAGAAATATACTTCTTGTAAAATTGGGAGAAAAAATTATAATAATAAATACTGTACTAAATTTATAAGTTTATTATGGAAGACATTGACTGGGAATCTACTTCAATTATTTGAGGAGACTTGACTTAGAACATTATTCAGTTTGATTTTTCCAAAGCATGAATTGATCGGATGTTTCCAAAAGCAAATGCAGTATAAACATTTTAAAGTCACCATTGCCTTTACTTTTTTACATTCAGATAAAGAAATATACTTCTTGTAAAATTGGGGAAAAAAATAATAATAATAAATACTTTATTAAATTTATAAGTTTATACTTCGTTAAATATTTTTTTTTTATTTTTTTATTTTTCCCAATTTTTATGAGAACAATAGAAGTGGAACCCAACATGGCTAAGATGTGGTAGAATGGTATGCATGAGACACATGTCAAGTTATGATTAGTGCAACGAGACACTTAAAAGCTGTTCTGGCAACCAACCAAGAGCACTTTCATTATCTTATTTTACATTTCAGCCTATTTATTTCAATTTCCTTTAATTGATACTCTCTCCGGTTCATATTAGTTATCAACTTTAAAAAATTTGACTCATAATTTTCGTGAGTCAAAATTATCGAAATAGACCTCTAATATGGGATACATGTAGTATATAAGTATATTAAAGAAATATGACTAAAAATAACATTAAATGATTCAAAAATAAAAGATAGTAGTGAGTCAAAATTTTTGAAATTGACAACTATTATGGAATGGAGGGTGGTAGTGAGTCAAAATTTTTCAAATTGACAATTATTATGGGATAGAGATAGTATAAGTTAATTTTCCAGTTCAATCTTTTAATTCAACACTTAAATATTTTACCCGCTTTCAGTAACTTAATCTTCTCGCCAATAAAATTCCAAAATCCTTTGTTCCAAAGACAAACTCAAGCTATTCCATCCCTAAGTACGTGATAAGTGAGAGATTGCAACTTGGCATACTACTATTCTACTAAGGTGACCTCACTTGGATCAACCCAGAGAAAATTCTTCCCATCATAATCTCATAGTTATTTCAATTTTATTTTTTTTGTATTTCATAATTTGTTGATATTAAAATTTGTAAGACATCTCAAATTTAGATTCAAATCAGATTTTGAAGATAAATCAAACATAATAATTCAGGAAAAAAATTGGGAGAACTTGATTTGTATCAGTATTACATAATGTAACTGATTATTACAGTCGTCAATTTTTTTTTCAACCTTGCATGCAAGATCTAAAATGCATCAATAAACAACTTTTTATTATATAATTTTATAAAAATGAGTTTTTAAGTGAAATTTTGAAGACCTTTAATCTTAATGGCTATTGTTGACCATTCATTTAAACAGGCTTATTAAATCTAAGATAACGAACTCTAACCTAATTTGAGAGTAATGGGAAGGGTTAATTTCCACGACAGAGACAACAGCCCATTCAAATTGTGTTTCTGTTCGCGCGGTTTTTGTTCCCTACGCCGGTCGATGGACTCTTCGCGGGCGTGCCAGAGTATTTGTACAAAATACCAAAAATATGTAATTGAACACCAGCCTATCCCTTTTTCCGATGGCTGACTCTCAGGCGATTGTGTGGGAGAGAGACTAGTAAGAACTCCCAGTAAGGTTCTTTTATGCCTTGTTTGTAGCAAGGACTTTTTAGAATATCTAAAGAAATGCAACGGCTGATGAATGTTTGAATGGATGGAATGGCCGAGTGAAGACAGGCGGCAAGAACTTAATCGATTGCCGGCCGAACGTGATGGCGAGAACTTAATCAATCGCCACCAGCCAAACACAATGGCAAGAATTTAATCGATCGCCACTGAAACGTGATAGCAAGAATTTAATCAATTGCCATCAGCCAAGTAATGACAAGAATTTAATCAATTGTCACTACGATTCAATGGCAAGAATTTAATCAATTGTCATTAAATTGAAAGCCTAACTAAAATTGCGTAATTAAAATTGGCATAATTGAAATTGAAAGAAAGTAAATGGCTGAATTGAAATAGTTGACAATGTTCTAATCAATTGCCATTAAATTGAAATAAAGAAATTGATAGGAAAAAATGACGTAAAGTCAATTGAAAACATTTTTAGTTGAAATGCATGTTTTGTGGTGGTGCTGGACAAATTGGAATAGGAATACAATACTTCTATTTATAGAAGTTCTATCTCAACTTATTTTCCTAAGTTATTGCTAGAAAATCTCTCCTTCTTTGATTCTTTTCTTCACAATTTGAACTCAGTCAAATCCTATTATTATTCTGCTTCCTTTCTTGTTCTGTTTCAGTAGGAAATCTCTGTAAAAACAACCTTCCTCGATTTAATCACATGTAAGTTGCCGAGATATTGCTAAAACGTTGCTAGAAAGTTGCTGAAAAGTTGCTAAGTTCTAGCAACTTCCTTTTATAAACTTAGCAGCCGTGTTCTATCCCAAGTGGCCCATCCTTTAGCGCCATGTCAAGGCCACTTGTCACAATTAGATTTGTTCACTTCATGCTGCCAACCTTCTATACATGTCTTCAAAGCTTTCATTCTTTCATCAAACTAAACTTCCTATTTTATAGGAATTTAGTTATTGAGTTTCATCCAAACTCTAGCCTTTTCCTTTTCTGTTAACAGCCCATTTTGAAAAAAGTCAAATGTGAGTCGCTATATTTCAGCAACTGCCATATCATTAGGTGGCTGAAATATATCTTTCTATATTTGCTCCTAATATCTTCAAACTGGCCGATCCATTCTTGGACATGCTCAACCCTTATCGGCTTCCCATTGGTCCACGTCGCTGCTGAAGTGGCTGCCAAGTTTTGGTGCCAACAAATGCCCCCTGAATTTCAAAGGCTTTTATCACTTATGATACGAAGCGTTTGGAATTTGAATCGGCCTAAAATTGTAATTCAAATTTTAGTAATAAATCCTTTTCCCAACCACCTGCTTTAATGGTTATCTTTCCCAATTAAAGCGGCGACTACACTAATCCGCTATTACATCCAACAAGTATTTAGCTTGATACCCTCTAATCCCTAAAATCATTCTTCTTTCCTTAAACTTTCTATCTCTGAAATTCTTTCTCGGCGAAATCGTTCCTGACGTCCTCTATGGCTCCTAAGAAAACTAAATCAACTGATTCCACCTCTATCCCTCAACCTACCGATCCTTCAACTCATGGCAACATCATAGAAAAATCCCTAAAAACTCTATCTCCTTACAAATACTGTCTCAATACCCTTATCGATCTTCGTACTGACTTCAAAGGCTTAGGTCCTGCTTTCCTTGATGAAGCTCCTTCATCAATCTCACCTTTCTATCCTTCGGCCGACGTTCTTCCATTCCTTCAAACCTTCCCTCCTAATGAAAATGGCAGTTTGCCACATTTTCATTTTAGAACATGGCATAGCCCAATGATACTTGGATCAATTGGGTCGACCGAGTTGGAGCTGTGAAGGGAGAAATATGGAAGGATTGTGGCATATATGATGCCATTCAGCTAAGTAAAACTAACATCGCCCAAGACAGAGCCTTGATGATAGCAGCCATGTTTAATTGGTCGACCACCACCAACTCCTTACACTTGAAATGTGGCATGATGGCTCCAACCATTCAAGACGTGTGCTATCTAACCGGCCTCAAACCCTTTGGGATTGATGTAAGTACCTTATTGGTAGAAAAGGATTCTCCTTTCATCTTTCCTTCAAAGCAAACTGGAACCAAATCATCTGAATCCTCTTATGGCAAATACTTAACTTCCACCATGGATCCTCGCGTCCCTGTGAATGATGCTGAACATATTGCCTTCTTGTTGGCGTGGCTGAACAAGTTTCTTCTATGCGTACCGGCCTTTCAAGTCACAAAGGATTACATTCATGTGGCCGTTGCCCTTTCAAGAGGTAAACACCTTGCTCTTGCCCCCTTGGTGCTTTCTCATTTATATAGAGGGATTTATGACTTGCTTACCTCCAACTTCGGATGCTATGGTGGTCCCCTCTGGTTATTTCAAATTTGGCTTCAAGTGTACTTTCCTGAACTCGGACCTGTGGTAAGGCCTTCGGCCAATGACCCATTACTTTCTGTAAGTTACGCATCAGCCGTACCTAAATCCCATTCGTTTGGAGATTGCTTCAATTTCTTTTACTC